TTCTTTGAGGGCAAAGCTCTCAAAGAATGCTCTCCGCAGGAGCATTGGCTTCTTCACATGAAGAAGGAAATTTTTTTTAGCAATGTTATATATTAATATATAAATATTTTTTTTAATTTGTATCACCATTAAAGGTCACGTGATATAAAATTTTATTGCATTTTTGAGCATAACTTACAAATTCTGAGTTTTGGTGATTTTCCCAAAATTGGCCACGAGGCGCAGCAAGTTGCGGGACTAGGTGACTTGCACCATAGAAATTTGAAATGTTACACTAATTTTTTATATTACGCGAAATGCATGACAAACATTCTGGCAATAAAAAGTAAGTGATAAACTGGATTTGAATTGGATCTGAACTTGATCTCCAACTTAGAGAGGTAACAACTATATACTGGTGAAGTTTCAGGAGCAACGGGTTCTGTATAACATTTTGTGCAACAACAAACTTCCACTATGCTGGTATGTAAACAACTCTATTTTTAGTGATCAATAATTTTTTCATTTGATCCCTGAAATCTTTGGTGATACCAATGTTTCACTTTGTTGCAGTATGCCCCATATTATTATTACTCAGATAATCGAACTGATTTAAATCACATCATTTCTATATATAGTTATATGACAAATAGTAAAAATAGCTCCTGAATGGAAGCAAATTTAAAGTTGAAGTTGCAAATATAATAATAACGAATGAATGGTAACAGACATCTGTGAATTACATGCATCGTTTATTACATACATGCCATTCAAAGGATTTCTTCACAACACATTTAAAATATTATTTGATAAATTATTATCAAAAGATAGAAAGTCATTTGTATGGAAAGTTTTTAATGAAATGAATGCTATAACAAACATTCCTATTAGAAGAAACCGAAGAGCTTATCTCTTACAATTAGTCGAAGGAAACAAGGAACTTTCTGAGATTGAAAAATGATACTGTAGAGGACATTATCTCTTACAATTAGTCAAAGGAAATGAAGAACTTTCTGAGATTGAAAAACGATATTGTAGAGAGCAATATATTTACAATAATAATAATGAATGATAACGGTAATGATAGCAATAATAGCAATGACTTTGTTGTTAAAATGAAGTTTCTTTAATAAGTACAACTCAAAAAAAAAGTGGGCGTGGAATTATTTCACAATCTTAGATGGAAAAGCTAGATGCAACTATTGCACTAAGTTAAGAAAAGGTACAGGTAGTTTTGTGCAATTAATGCCATGTATACCAGTAAGTATTATGTTTTAATATAATATTTTGATTATGTTGATTTAAATTGTAGAATTTCTCAAATGAAAATTTTCATAAATATCTTATTAGATGGATAGTTTGTTGTGATCAACCCTTTCCCGAAGTTGGAAAAAAAGAATTGAAAGAATTATTTGGTGTTTTAAAAGTTGATGTTGTCACTCCTTCAGCAGACACAGTAAAAAATGACATTAAAAAAAGAATTTTTTAAAGAACATTCTCAATTTTTTTTTTTTCAAAAAAAATTTACTATCATCAATATTTAATTGATCAAACTTCTGTTTTAATTCTTATTAGACAAACCCCAGTTGGATATATGTAATGAAATATAAAAATAAAATTTTTCATAAATAAAATTTACAATGATTTTTTTATATTAAATGATTGGGCCTTATTGGGAAAATTGATTTGGAAAATCAAAATTATTTATTGCTGCGGAATCGAATCGAATCAAAGTACAATTTGAATTCAATTTGACTCAATTCGAACCCGATTCGATTCGAATTGATTCGAATTTCACTGATTCGTTCAGAACCTTAGTAATAATGGGCCTTAATTGTGAAAATTTAGTAATAGGTGAATTTCCTTCAAATCTCATTAATAAATAATACGAATTAATAAAGAAATACTTTCAGATACAAAAGAGCCTATTATCATCAATATTCTTTTTAATCTCTTTGAGATATCTAGTGGTTCACCACAATTTCATTATAATAATCCTTACATACATACTCATTCACCTTTATGATAGTTATAATATGAGGCTAGAATTCCATTAATTTTTGCCTTTTTTAAAACATTCTCTACTATTTTTCTCCATTCAGATACTAATTTACTTTCACATAATTTTGACTAACTTTATAGTAAACAAAAGGAAAATGTCACAAATCTCTGACAAATGGCACATAATTAAGATTGTTTCAAAGAAAAAAAAACTCAATATTGTGATCATTTCTGATCATTTTTTATAGTGAATAGGTTATTTGATGATTTTTTATTATCTTTTGATTCTTCGCATAAATTTATTTGGTTGGTTTTGAAAATAATCAAAGTGATTTAAACAAATATGATTACTATTATTTTACTTATTTGTTTCAAGAGAAAGCCTAGGAGTTGGTGTTGTTTCTGCAAATGGTAATCGAACTCCTATAATGTTTTTCCTAAAAACTTGAGTTTCCAATTCATCACTTTCTATTTTTTCTATTGTTTTGAGGATTTCTCAGATTGCGTTCTGCGAAATGTCAAAGCAGATGAATAAATATACACATCAAAAATATACAGTTCGATATTAAAATATTACCTTTAATTCTAAAACTGTAATTATTGATAAAATTAAATCACAGAGACCTTCAATGTATATTGGTGCTTCTAAATTGGCTTTTTTAGTCAATCGTGAGACAACTCCTCCAGGGCGATCCATCATATAAATAATACCTTTATTTTCTAAGCAATAAGAGAGATAAGTGACAAAGCTATTCAATATAGCATAATGGACACTCGTTTTATCACTTTGTGACAAAATCGATTGTTGATCTTTTTTATGTTGTGAAACATGTGATT